AATGATCCAAATGCACAATTTTTTTAATTTCTAACTTATTTTTACATGAAATTATTGGTAAGCATATTGTATTGTATTATAGTCACAGGGCAAACTATGTTAAATCTTTTTTGTATTAAAGCTCATCACAAACTGATTAGCTTAGCCACAAAAAGCTACTCATGTGAACATGTGTGTGGGCTCATTCTAACACACATGCCCTTGCTTCATATGTGCATGTTTTACCCAACATGTCCATCAACGGATCAATAACATGCTCCCACTGAGCTCTTACCACACAGCCATGATACAGTGGCTTGTACACGCGCACACACACAAACACACTGATGCACAGAGCTATCAGTCAAACAGACTGGCCCGGTCTCACCACTCTCACACTGAGGGATCCGTGACAAGAGAGAGGGGAATCCAACAGCAAGCTTTATCGATCCAGACTGGAAACCCCCCTCAGGCCACACACAAACACACACACGCACGTATGCATGCACACGTGCACACAGACACACACACACAAACACTACAGCTGTGCTGGATCAATGAGTGCTCCCGTGTGAAGGACAGAGCCATACAAAGGCACACAAATGCAGACGCACACACACTATTGAGAGAGATGAAAGGGCTGCTCGGTATCAGAGAGCGAGATAAGGGGCAGAGGGCGCAGTACGTATCATCTGACCTAAACAGTCTCATCTGACACCCTGCAATTTGCCATTGCTCTGTGGAGCAAATGTTAACACTGCACAAGCTGCACACAGGAGCACAAGCTGCACACAGGAGCACAGACACACATGCACAGCACACATAAACACCAATACACAGACATGCAGCAGCATGTAGGAGTCTCACTTTCAAACTAATATTATTATTCTACGGGGAAACAGCGACTAATGTGAAAACAGAACAGCTCCAGACACAGCAGAGCCCTAGAGGTGTGGCTGCTCTCTTTTGGGCGACTGTGATGAGCAGCTAAACAGATCTATCACTCATCAAATTAGACCCCCCCCCCAGCCCACCCACACACACATGTTTGTACTTCTATCTTAGTGAGGACACTCATTGACATATTACATCCCCCAGCCCCTTTCCTAACCATCCAAACTAAATGCCTAACCCTAACCCTAAACTAATTCAAACTCCATCCCTAAAACCAAGTGTTAACCGTCAAACAGTCCATTGAAAAAGTGAGGACTGGTCAAAATGTCCTCACTATCCAAAAATGTCCTCACTCTTTAGGGTCTATGCTTAAAATGGTATAAGAAACACATTCACTCACAGCACACATGTCTACTAATGTCTGATTTATCCCTGTAATGCAGCTATTAACCACAGTGGTGTCAGTTAGTGAGTGAAGAGCCATGTGCCAGGAAAAGGCCATTTCATCAGACTTGAATGATTGGACCATTTTTTAAACCTTCCTCCATCTTCTCTCACTGACAAAGCAAGAGACGTCGGTGACACCAATAAATTCATTAGTGTCGATTAAAGGCTGTCAACAAACGGGGCAAATGAGGAGGAAATCTCCATTAGGATAAAATTGGAAAGAAAAAACAATTGTTTTTAAAGATGCTGACACAGCTCGGGTTATTTGTGGTTCAGGACAAATACGAGACGTTTCTCATTTCTTTTAGGGCAAATGTTGCTGAGTCCACTGAGATATTGGGATGACATTAGATCATTTGCTTTCCAAATAAAACTTGCATGGTGGCACGAATGGGAGTTTGCAAAGATAGAACATATTCAGCAAAAGAGAAAGGATTGCAAAAGGACAGTTCTCTGAGTTTCCTACCTGGGATGATGGAGACAGTATCTTTCTCCCAAGACACCACACTGACGTACTCCTGGACAGCTGAGGGGATGAGGCACTTGAACACAGCAACATTACCCCGCATGGAGCGCTGGTCGGCCACACGGACTGTGTAGGGCTCCCTGAACACTGGTGTGCGGAGAAAAGACATAAAGTTAGTCAAGGAGGGATGCTGTTTGGTTGAATGTTTCAGAAAAGGGAAAATAAGGCTCAACAAACTTAGATCTTGTTTTTTTTAATTACAAAGTGACTAGAGTGAAATAATTACTAAAACAAAGCTTAGTGTGATGAAAGTAGAGCTGCAAGTGATGACTACTTCTGATGATGACTACTTCTGATCAATTCATTGTCAGAGAATAATCAAAAATGTCTATCACAGTTTCCCTGAGCACAAGTCTTCAACTGAAGTCTTCAAATTGCTGGAAACAGCAAATGTTCAGCTTTTTAGACCTTTAGGACATAAAACCATTGCTTTGGTGAAACATTTGGACAGTAAAACTTCTCACTTCCATGTTTTATGTTACTGGAGACAAATTATATTTGGCCATTTTCCTTATCAGTGACTTCAACAAATAATCCGTTTTTCAAAATTGTTGCCAGCTAATTGATTTGTTGACTAATCATTCCAGCAGCAGGCGTTTCTGCCACTTTTAACAAGTTAAATTTAGGAATTTTTATTGCCATAATGAATGAAAAATTAGGACAAATGTCACGTGTGACAGATATGAAGTAATATCAGAGTCACTGAATTGCATACTCTGGTTTGTTGTGTATCAAAGAAAAACATTTGAACATGCTCAAACTACAGGCAGAGACAGTATGTATCCATAAAGCTCAATTCTGACCGGATGTTTTTTATCAGTTCCACTTTGGTCTTATTTGTAGTTTTATTGCAGGATACTAATATATTTATCATTGAGATAGAACTACAACACATGGAGACAGTAAAACTGTCAAACTATGCCTGCAGCAAAAACAAGAAATAAAACAAAATGTAATTGTAATTGCATTAAGTGAACGTTAACAAATTTAAAGCTTCAGTGTGTAGAATTTACTGACATCTAGAGGTGAAGTTGCATGTTGCAGCTAAATACTCCTCATCTCACCCTCCCCTTCTAAACATGAAAGAGAACCTGTGGTGAACTTCAGTTGTCATGAAAACTTTTTAGTTTGTCCAGTTTGGATGACAGTAAAAAACATGGCAGCCTCTACAGAGAGGACCCCCCTCCATTCTATGGTAAAAATTTCTTTCACCTAAATCTTACACACTGAACCTTTAAGGTAATGTAATTAAGACCTGCTTCATATTTCAACATATTTAAGACTTTTTGAGGTCTATAATTGAGATAATTAAAATTTGAACTTTTAAAAACTACCCAGAAACCATAAGCAGCACATGGAGTTCATTCTTCTTCACTGCACATAGTGACACAGTACAGTTAACATCCTTGGGTCCTGTTTAATCTGTGGTAAAAGCAGGGGCAGGTCTTGTAAACAAACTCGTCTGGTGTTCTGTCCTACCACGTTAGGCCAATGATTTTCGCTTCTGCCGCAGATTTGACTATGAGAAGGGCTGACTTGGAGCTGCATTGAAGAGGATACGCAGTGAGTGGCCCTCGGCCTTTTAAAGAACAACGCCACAGATGCTTTGAGACAGCGAGGAGCGGAGGGTTGCTCACGGCCGACGGAACTGTCACATGCAGGCGCCAGGCAGCAAAAAACATACCCCCTGCACATGGCATGCCGAGCACTAGGCTGTGAGTCTGTGCCAGTGTACAATAGGATGGTGGTGATTAAGACAGGCTTAATGATGAAAACAGTAGCCTGTAGCTAACCAAATTATCTCTCCAGTTAACTCTGTCACATCTAGATCAGTGAGGAATGTGAAATGCTGAATCAGAGCATGAATTTTCATTACATAAATTAAGTAAAGTGAAATTAAATGAATGGATTATTTTGGTGAGGAGGAGAGACAGGAAGTTCCAGGGCAATGTTAGCTGGACTCAATGAACAGGGAGCTCTTAAACTGTGGGCTCCCACTACAGTCTGATTTTGTTTGCATAAAGGGATGTTGCCAAATGTTTTCCCTCCGAAACATACAAAAATGTGGCTGCTTGACACAAGAGATGAAAGGAAAAAAAGACAATTACAGAAATCAGCTGGGGTCTCGGTCGGATGTTTCTGGCAAGACAATCGAACACAATGCATCAACCAGGCTTCCCTTAGAAATGAGGACAGTAATAGCTTAACAATGTAAAACACACACACACACAACACAGGGAATGGCCCCACCCTCCCGTGTGCTCACTCTCTCCCCCAGCTCTCCAGTGATATAATTAACGCCTAGCCTGAAGGCCAGTTTCCTTGGTCATTAATAATGCTTTATGCCAGCCGCCACTGTCACTGGAACCCAGTGGAACTAAAGCACAGTGTCCTTGTCCAAATGGTGGGAGTCTTTCACCTTAAAGTTCGAGGTTTAATCACCCAAGTCTTTGTCTGATTCCGTCCATTGCTTTTACATTGTTCTACTTTTTCTGAGCTGGCTGAACCTTGAACCCATCTTTCTTCTTTGCTGGTTTGTGAAGGACTTATGTTCAGAGTAGAGGCGGGACAATTCCATCAAAAATTGTGTCTGTTTATCCTTGGATACCATATATGTGACCATGGCCTTTAAACGGGTCGTGGTGCTACTTTGTTTCTCAGCTAAATTGATGGCTGCAGTGAGATATCCTCTGGAGATCACATTGGTCACCTGACACACAGGCCGCTAATAAGAGCTGAAGCCTCATTTGTAAACACATCAGAGCTAAAGGACAAAATAATTCCGATCAAGTCTTCATTTCAATTCTTCATTTAAACAGCTGCTGCTTCTCATTGATGCCATCTACCTGCAGATCAATAGCCAGGATCGACTGAGTAGCCTCGGCTGTTGTGGCCGAGCCAATTCTCTCAATCATTTATTTACTCTCTGATTGACCCTGCTGCCACTTCTCAATAGCAGGGGAAAATCCCCAGTGCCCACTGAGCCTCTCGGAGAGCGCTTAAAATCAGCTTGACAGCTTGTAAATGTTTGGTGCAATGATGACAGTCGTTACACGTCAGTTCAGCACAGGTTCAAATCCAGTCAAGGTCACGTCAGGTTCGTACATCCCTTGCTTTGACCCCCAGCTTGTCCTTCACTTGCTAGAACCTCCTTCAGACACTCCTCTCCTCATTAAAACCAGTCAAATAAGCCCTGTGTGGCAACATGCCCCGGTACACAACCATGTAAGCGGCTCCAGTAAGTGGCAACTGTTGTGATAGCATTGTCATTTAACGCACGTTCCTCTTCCAAGATATGAAAGACACGGGGAGAAAAAAAACAATACATATTCATTCTCCTGAGCCTGGTGACAGGATGCAAATTGTAACCCAACTGATTTGTGTGTAAATTGCACTCCCCCTCATCGCATGCGCAGCAGAATCATTAGGATGTTACTGATGCCTGACTGTATGCAGCCTGGTTGCCTAGGAACGAGCTAAAACATGGGTCTGGTGCACTGGGTGCACTGGGAGGCAAGTCCTGTATCACTGTCGCTTCAATAATTAACGACAGGGAAACCAAATACTGCATTTACTTATTCATAAAGCGAGCAGCAAAAACACAAGAGAAGGAGAAAGAGAGAAGGAGCAAAAATAATGAAATACAGAAATACTGAGTGGATGTAGGTTTTGTTATTGAATGGATAAGAAGAGCAGTTCAAGGAAATGTCTGAGAAGGGGTGAGGAGAGCGGATTAAGGAAAAGGATCTAAACGCCTGCTGTGTTGGCCTGAGCACACACTGGTTTGTGTATTTTAGTCAGGAAAAAGGGGAGATGAGGTGATCTGATCGAACAGGTGTCCTCATTTAATTTTACTAAGTTTGTGTAAGGAGGTGTTGGGTCCACCAAACAAAAGTTTCAGGCAGAATGCTTGCGACAAAGTGATATTGACAACCAACTAACTGTGTGTGAGAAAGATGTGCTTTTATTTTTAGGGGTAAGTCACATACTTGTTGGAGAGGAGAGAGGATAGTAATACCTATAGAAGCTGCCAAACTGCTGGATATGTTTCACTAACAAAAGATTTGTTTAAAGGCAGGGATGTCAAACTCACTTATTGAACACCCAATGGGGTGGTTCTTCATAAATATATCCTGTGTAAAAATAAAAACATTCTAGAAAATGACATGAAAAAGGTTCACTGTATCATTCCTTTTTTCTTGTATAACATATTGTATCTTCAAGCCTACTCTGTATCATTCGAAAGGACAAATGGTTTCATATTATTAGTTTGGTTCATTTTCGGGAAAATATGGGACAAAAAATTTAATGTCACTTTGTTTTGCAAACAAATGTTTAAATATTTAAACGGGTAAAAAAAGCCAAACAGGACAGTTGTGATACTTTTAAGAAAAACT